AAGGAGGAGGGGGAGCAGTAATAAGCTCGGTAAAAAACCTGGGCTCAGCTGGCCCGGCTGATAGTATCCTGTAAGGGCTCCTGATCCAGGGATACAGGATGAGTTTGTACTCCATGTTAGGAGCGGCTGCACATGGTGTCTGTTCCTCATGTCAGAGGCGGCCATTTCTTTTGGAGCTAAGTCGGCCTGCCACTGAGTAGTGCTCCCAGTCTTAATGGCAAAGGCAGACGCATTCTACTTCACCCAGTCATGATGGTTGTCAGACATCATCAAGGGTCACAACTTGATACCTTAATATGATTGAGTGGAGATAGAAAGAAGAAGACAAAACTAGAAGTTTGTTTTGTATACAAAAGAAACTTGCGTGCTTAAACCCTTTCATTTTATTAACTTGACAAAATGTTGGTATCATATGGTATAAGTAAATGATTATAATGTAAAATATGAACAAAATATATAATGATTTTGTTATATTTTAACAATTTATCTTCATTAATATCATTGCAATAAAATTGGCTAGACTTGAGGAATAGTTTCCTCCTATGCAAGTTGGTATTGAACAAGCCAAATGTCTGTAAAAAATAAATTAAAGATTGGTTGACATTAATTAAATTCTCTTTCAGTTAATTTACTCAAAATCAGTTTTTAAAATTGTTGAAAAAACATTTTTCCTTTTTTTAATCTATTTTCATAATACAGACAACTGAGTAGATAAGAGGAAGTATAATTTAAAAAAAATCTATATTATTCTTTAAAAAGATAAATAAATAAGTTTCGAACTTTTGATGCATTGTAATATTTAAAAGCCAAACATAAATGTAAGGTAACAAATATTAAAAGATGAATACTTACAATTGGAACATGTTCTGCCGGATTTTTGTATAGTTTTTCTGTGAGCGAGTCATCGAAATTGGTCAGATCTTCAACAGCTACTTCCAAGTAGTATATGTTGGTATTATAATGTTGCTTTAACTGATCCCTGCAACAAATTATGTATTTTCCGAGAGATATAGGCAAAAGGGTTACAAAACAAACCTGTAAAGAAACGTGAAATTCCCACGGTGGAATTGCCTGATAAATTCCTTGAAACGTTTTTTAACTTGAACTAAATTACCAGCAGTTTCTTGCCCTTCATTAACAAAATCATCACTGTAAAAAACACCCAAATCGTCAAAACCCGCCATAGAAGACTATTTAGAAATGTACAAAACTATTGTCTTGTAACTGGCGGGAAAATAAGACTGCCAAAACAAATGCCAATAGTGCAAGATCTAATAAATATTTTGTGAATTAATCTGTGGTGTTGATATCTAACAAAATTGAGAAAATATCGCGCAATAATTCATATAAATAGTAAAAACTAAATTCTTGAACGTTTTTTGAATATTTCAAGTAATAAAATTTAATTCATTATTATATTATTCATTGATGTATTCATCATCTTTAGTGTTTTGGAAATTACTTCAACCTGTTTACCTATAGACTTTCCATTTAAATCTCCCTCTTACCTAGTATAAAAAATGAAGCTTATTAGTATTATATTATTTTTAATAGCTTCATTAACTTTCTCAGAGTCCATGCATCTAGAAGGAAAATGGCATACAAATGATTTTTTCAAATTTTTGGTAAAATTTGGATTTCAAAAGACTGATATAAATGATAAAGTAAACACTTTTGGATATATCTATGGAAATATAACATCAAAAAATAATAAAGCACATCAAGCTTTATTAGTTGTGGTTGATAGAGATTTTTTCCTTGATTTTTATCGAAATCGTACGTCTTTTCCCCATGATCCACAGAAAAGGTGTGAGTTAATGTTTACAAAAATTCAAGCTTCTGCGTTTGACAAAGATTGTAATAATAATGGAACATTAGATTTTTTGCGTAATATACCATGTGAAAAAGGACATTTATGTGAGGATGAAGAAGATCCAAAGAGAGTTGTACCTGGCCATCAATTTACTTATGCTGTACAAGATACAATTCAAGAAAGGTAAGTTTTCTCAATTCAATTTAACTATTTATAAATTAATTTTTGACCAATCATATGAATTAAAATATTTTGACAGCTATTTAAACATGTAGTTTTACTTCTTGTTTACCTCAAAGTAATTATTTACTAGGATATCAATAATACAATGTATACAGTAATTATACTTTTTTAATTTTAAAATTTTTGTATATTTTGATAGCAACATATTGAGAGAATGTCTTGCTTCCTTTTCATATCAAACACTTTTAATATTTAAAAAATTCAATGTGTCAAATATTATTATAATTTTGACAAAGTTAGGAAATGTTATGTATATTTTTGTATTCCTCAATATTTTATTCTTTTGAAAAATTGTCAGTTGTCATTGTATATTGTAAGTAAGATAGTCAAAATTTCCTCTCTGTCACAGATAATGATCAATAACTGATAGAATCTTAAGGTTGAACCCAAATATCTTCTTCTTCTTTCTTATCTTCACTCAATCACACTAAGGTATCAAGCTTGTAAAGCTTGAGATTTTGATGGTGTCTGCCGGGGAAGAGTTGAGCTCATCAATGGATGAGTCAATACAGTCAATAATATGTCTTGGGGTTGCAGGCTGAGAATTGCACTTAGTACATAGTGGGAAAACCCTGCAACCATTCTGGAAAGTCATTGTCCGTAGATGACCAGACTTAAGTCTGGAAATCAAAGACTATTGTTCTCTTGGGAGGACAGAACCGGTGTTTGTCCCTCGTGCTCTGTACCAGTCATGTGCAGCATCGGAAAATGATTTTACTTTATCCAATCAGGAACCCAAATATTGTTGTTTTATAAATGAATCTAAGCACAAGGTAATAAGACCAAATCCAAATAAATAGTGTGTACCATTTAGTACTTTTGTCTGAAGATTCTAATCATTTCATCTAACTAACCTGCATACTAATTCTGTAAATATTTAGAATATGTTGGTGTTTTTGGGGGTAAAAAAGAAAAAATGTTATTTAAATATATTTTTAATGTTATCTTTATGCATAGAAACTACAAAAGTAAAATTTAAGAATTAAGAAAAAATACAAAAACAAGAATCAAGAAGGCACTAACTCAGTTGCCAATTGTTAATCATCATATGCTAGCTAATGTTATCATCATCAATTTATATTTATTCATATATCTATATAATTTATTTACATAGAGAAAAATTCTTTGAATTAATATACCTAACAAAATATCTTTCTTTTCTTTCAAAATTTTTGTTTTTCTATAAAGTGCATGTGTCCCTATGGGGACATAGCGCTCTAAGTCAAAATAAAGAATGGTAACAACATTGTTACAGAAACGTCCCACACTATTAATTTTTTTGGATTTGGTTTTATTACCTTGTGTTTCTAATCTATAATCCAAATTGTGACTTATCATAAATGGGAATATTTTCATGCTTCAACCAATCATGTCCGCAATTTTGTATCTTGTACAATGTTAGGATTTTCCCCAATTATCTTTAACTGATATAGAATTAAGAAAAAGGCATCTTTGATAAAGCACAATTTGGATTATAGATTATAATAAAAGAGAAAATAAGACCTAATAAATTATTTGGATTAGGTCTTATTTTCTTTTATTAAAAAGGCATCTTCTTATCGTGCAACTGAAAGTTGCTGATGGCTTGCGCCATCTATCAGAATAAATATCAACTATTCTCGTTGATTTTAAATTATTCCAGAATTGGCCAAATACCCATTCTTGATTAATCAAGAAAAGCTAACCACGGACGCGTTTAGGGCTGTTGGCCCTCATCAGTGTTTGGCAAGCTGTACCTCAACGACCAAAAAATTGGTCATTCAGGCATCCTGATATAGAATTGACAGGTAGACTCGGAACTAGTTCCCAGGTTTTGTTTTGATTATCCTATGGTATAATTATATACAAGGTCATGGAAACTAAACTCATAGATCAAATCTTGGTAGGGTTGGAATATAAGTCCTGTCTTGAGGCTCCCATGTATTCCAAGAGTGTGTAACGTTTCGGTAACAGCGCTGTTACCAAAACATCACATACTATTAATTTGTTTTGGATCAGGTCTTTATTACCTTGTAATGAATACCTTGTTCTCCTCTTAATATATATATATATGAAAAAATGAAAGAAAAAAATAAAAGATAAAAAGATCAGGTGTTGAAATCAAAAATAAAAATGTCATATCCTGACCAGGAGCACATGTGCTTTACAGAAGGTAGAACGCCATCTAGTGGAACAGAAATCAACTAAACATTGATTTAACCTGTTCCCTGATATATGGCCAACCCAATTTCTTGATAAATCAAGAAAAGCCATCCACGAACGTGTTTCGCGCTGTTGGCGCTCGTCAGCATGGAGTAGGTTTTTTTCTTGTATCTATAATCTAAAATACAAATTGTGCCTTATCAACTCATCTATTTAAACTATTATTGATATAGGTGGCATTTTTCAATGCAGATTTTGTTGAATATTGTCTATGATCCAAATTATCGTTGAATTTATTTTTTGTTGAGATTATACCAATACAATTGTAAAAACGACATTTGAAAATTATCCCGCATATGTTTCTTCTGAAAGAAAAATCAAAATTTATTTCAAGGAGAAATAACGATCATTTCCAACCTTAGGGATGAGGTATGAAAGGATAAATTGTGAAGAGTAATGATTTTTTTTTTTAATTATCCCTAATACACGTGGTACAGGCCATGATAATCATGATGAGTAGTTAGCAACTGCTTTTACTGTAAGTACACCACATGTCTACACATGTGAAAAGCAGTTCGACTTTGCACTTATAAATGTGCCAGAGTCCCGTTTGGTTACTTGCGCTCGCTGGTGGGGTTGGACTTTTGCAAGAATCGGGGGCCATTGGAGCATTTTTTTATAAAATCAGAAAAAAGTGTCCAATGCAGGAATCGAACCCGGGTCGTAGTGGTCGAAAACCAAACGGTTTAACCAGCCTTCCACCGACCTCCTAAGAGTAATGATAAACGGAAAAAATAAAAGTGTCCAGGGATGGGAAACGAACCCACAGTGTTCTGCTTACCGGGCAGATGCCATGTCCACTAGGCTACCCTGGACATATTTTTCCGTTCATATATAATACACAAAGTAATTTATAATACAATATAATATAAAGCCACATTATATTATATTATACTAATACAATACTGGGGTAAAACAAAGTGTGGAATGATACAAAAGACTAGCCATATACTATCCAGTTGCTTATTTCTTATTTCATTGCATTTTTTTCCATACTTCAACTGTAATAAGATACAAATTGGATTATAGATTAGCACCATAATGTAATAAGACCAAATCCAAATAAATAAGTGTGTGATGTTTCAGTAACAACGCTGATAAGGCACAATTTTGATTATAGATTATAAACACAAGGTAATAAGACCAAATCCAAATAAATAAATAGTGTGTGACGTTTTGGTAACATCTTCAGACAAGAGTACTGAATGGATACAGACATTCAGTACTCTTGTCTGAAGATGTTACCAAAACGTCACACACTATTTATTTATTTGCATTTGGTCTTATTACCTTGAGTAACAACGCTGTAACCAAAACGTCACACAGTTATTTATTTATATATTTGGATTTGGTCTTATTTATCTTGTGATTCTAATCTATAATCCAATTTGTACCTAATCATTTTTAATAGACTTCATTCAGTACTTTTGTCTGATCATAGTAACATTGCTGTTATCAAAATATCACACCATTTTTTTTTTGTAATTTGGTCTTAAATCCTTCATGGTCTTATCTACTTCAACTCTTCTTGTAATATTGGAGATGGCATTACATGATAAATAATCTAAAAGAAAAAGTTTAAAATTCCCATTACAGTAGAATCTCCCTTAGAGGATACCCTCACTAGTGGACACAACTAAACAACAGACAGTATTTATTGCCTGAATTGCTCTTCAATTGGAAATAGGTTGGTGCTAGTGGATACCTCCAGACAACAGATGTTTTTATAATTGATCATATATCTATTTTACATATAATAGACATTCATGCACTAGCAGACAATTCAGAAAATCAAAGTTGAATAAAGAATATACATATATTTTTAAATAAAATTAATTTTTTCAATATGTGTTCAATGATATTTACCTAGTATACTATAGGCATTTACTAAGTTAAGAAAAAAAGCATCTCCTGATCATGTAACCAAAATTTGCTGATGGCTTGTACCATCAATCAAAGCCACCAAGAAAATGTACCTAAAACTCTTGGATTCACCCGACCTCGAAATTAACCCTATCCTACAGTCTCCCCCAAATCATAGACTAAAATCAAGGAAGCTGATATGGTCCAGAGGAAACCAACTTCTCTCCCAAAATTTTAATATCTCAGAAGCATGGACAAATTCCTGGATCAGCTCCGATATCCCAAACAAGAACCTCATCACAAGCCCAAGTGTCAAGATCCCAGGTTTTTCCCTCCCTCGACGAGAATGGGTGCTTCTAAACCGCTTTAGGACAGGTCAGGGAAGGTGTGCTGAGCTGATGAAGTTATGGGGCTACACCAAAGATCCAAATTGTGCCTGCAACGTCCCACAATCAATGTCCCATATACTAGATGACTGCCCGCTGTACAAATTCAATGGAGGAATCCCCAATCTCCATTCTGTCACCCCGGAAGCCCTGAACTGGCTAAAGGACTTACCTCTCAGACTTTAATGACCGATATGTCCTCACTTCTTTTTTCTAGATTTAATTCATTTTGTCTCCTCTCTAATTGTAAATACGCTGCTGTATCACCTCATAAGCATAAATAAATCAACTAATCATTGGTATGTAATTATTCCAGAATTGGCCAAACTTTTAATTGCACAATCAGGAGGTGCCATTTTTCCCTAATGTAGCCACCTGATCCCAGTACAATTTCACTTTTGCACCATTTTTTTTCACATTTACTAAGTGTTAAATGAAGATATAATATTTAAATAAAATAAAACGAGAACGAAGAGGAGTTTCTTATATTTAATATTCACGAGCTTTCGGACCGTGACGTCCTTCTATTGGCTATAGAATGGAAGATATGACCGACTATATAGAAGTAGAAGGACGTCATGGTCTGAAAGCTCACGAATATTAAATATAAGAAACTCTTCTTCGTTCTCGTTTTATTTTATTTAAGTAATTATATTGAAGAGTTGATTTTGTCGAAGATATAATATACTATAATAATAAGTGGTGGTGGTCGTGTCTTGTCCATGGAACAGATCAGATCGGTCCATGCACCCTGATCACAATACCAGCCAACAAAGGTGCCTTGTTCATATGGATGTCCTCTTCTGGGTTGATGTCTGCCATGTAGAGGGCTGCAAGGATGGCCGGGTATATATGGTCCGGAATGAGTTGGGTGTTGTGACAGTTATGGCAGTTCCTGTAGGATCTAGTCATGTCTGGGTTTATCTTCATTCCTTTAAAATGTCCTGTTCTAATTCTTGAAATTGTTGCTGTTAATTCTCTGGTGTTAATGTTGAGGTTGTATATGGGCTGGGGTATTTTGGTTTTTGTAATGAGTTTTGCTATTGTATTTCCGTCTTTCAGTGTTAATTACTGGTTTCCAGTTCCTATATAATATACTATAATAATAAGTGAATATAATATAGCAAAACTCTCCTATATAGCGAATCCCAATGGGACTGAACCTGTGGTTTACTATAAACATGGTTCGTTATAGCCATGGTTTACTGTCTTATAAAATTAAAATTGGGATTATTTTAGGTTTATTATATGGAAAGGTTTGCTATATCCCAGGTTCATTTTAGCAAACTTTTACTATATGTTCTTAAAGATTTTTATTTAAGTTTTAACATATAGAGAAAGTAACTCTCCGGTAAGAGGACATCTTTCTGTAGAGGATACTTTGGCTCTGCAACTAGGTGTTGTCCTTTACAGGGAGGTTCTACTGTAATTAGTAACTCTCTGGTAAGAGGACACCTCTCTGTAGAAGACACTTTGACTCTGCAACTCGGTGCTGTCCTTTACAGAGAGGTTCTACTGTAATTAGTAACTCTCTGGTAAGAGGACACCTCTCTGTAGAAGACACTTTGGCTCTGCAACTAGGTGTTGTCCTTTACAGGGAGGTTCTACTGTAATTAGTAACTCTCTGGTAAGAGGACACCTCTCTGTAGAAGACACTTTGGCTCTGCAACTAGGTGTTGTCCTTTACAGGGAGGTTCTACTGTAATTAGTAACTCTCTGGTAAGAGGACACCTCTCTGTAGAAGACACTTTGACTCTGCAACTAGGTATTGTCCTTTACAGGGAGGTTCTACTGTAATTAGTAACTCTCTGGTAAGAGGACACCTCTCTGTAGAAGACACTTTGACTCTGCAACTCGGTGCTGTCCTTTACAGAGAGGTTCTACTGTAATTAGCAACTCTGGTAAGAAGACACCTCTCTCTCTAAAGGACACTTTGGCTCTGCAACTAGGTATTGTCCTTTACAGGGAGGTTCTACTGTAATTAGCAACTCTGGTAAGAAGACACCTCTCTGTAGAGGATACTTTGGCTCTGCAACTAGATGTTGTCCTTTACAGAGAGGTTCTACTGTAATTAGTAACTCTGGTAAGAAGATACCTCTCTGTAGAGGATACTTTGGCTCTGCAACTAGATGTTGTCCTTTACAGAGAGGTTCTACTGTAATTAGTAACTCTCTGGTAAGAGGACACCTCTCTGTAGAAGACACTTTGACTCTGCAACTCGGTGCTGTCCTTTACAGAGAGGTTCTACTGTAATTAGCAACTCTGGTAAGAAGACACCTCTCTCTCTAAAGGACACTTTGGCTCTGCAACTAGGTATTGTCCTTTACAGGGAGGTTCTACTGTAATTAGCAACTCTGGTAAGAAGACACCTCTCTGTAGAGGATACTTTGGCTCTGCAACTAGATGTTGTCCTTTACAGAGAGGTTCTACTGTAATTAGTAACTCTGGTAAGAAGATACCTCTCTGTAGAGGATACTTTGGCTCTGCAACTAGATGTTGTCCTTTACAGAGAGGTTCTACTGTAATTAGTAACTCTGGTAAGAGGACACCTCTCTATAATGGACACTGGCTCTGCAACTAGGTATTGTCCTTTAGAGACAGGTTCTACTGAAGTTAGGAACTCTCTGGTAAGAGGACACCACTCTATAAAGGACACTTTAGAGAGAGGTTCTACTGTAATTAGCAACTCTCCGGTAAAAGGACACCTTTCTGAAAAGGACAGTTTGGCTTTGCAACTAGGTGTTGTCCTTTACAGAGAGGTAGTTCTACTGTTATTAATGACACACTGGTAAGAAGACACCTCTCTATAATGGACACTGGCTCTGCAACTAGGTATTATTCTTTAGAGAGAGGTTCTATTGAAATTAGCAACTCTCTGGTAAGAAGACACCTCTCTAATAAAGGACACTTTGGCTCTGCAACTAGGTATTGTCCTTTACAGGGAGGTTCTAGTGTTATTAATGACACACTGGTAAAATGACACCTATCTATAAGGCACACTTTGGCTCAGTAACTAGGTGTTGTCCTTTACAGAGGTGTTCTACTGTAATTAGTAACTCTCTAGTAAAGAGGTAATACATGGCAGTTCTACTGTATTGAGACATTTCTCTCTTTCTCTCATCCATTTTAACACTCTGTAGTTTCATTATATCCACACCCATTTCTTCCCCTCCCTCTAGCCATCAGCCTTGAATACCAAAACCTATTTCTTTTGCAACAAGTTTCACAACCATTTAGAATTGCACATTCCAAATAGTTAGTACCTGTAGTTGTTTTCTTCCTTCTCCAATTAATTCTCTGAAATTCTTTTTTTTTTAAATACCAGTGTCAATTTTTAATTAAAGAAATTGTCTTACAAATTATAGAGATTCCTGGTTGCTTTTCTAGAGTTGGTCTCTCATTGGGGGTTGTGTGTAGGGACATTTTTGGATTTTCCCAGAAGTGGTAATTTGTCAGATGTGTGTGCAATGCAGGTTTTACTGTATAAACACAAGGTAATAAGACCAAATCCAAATAAATAAATAATGTGTGATGTTTCGGTAACAGCGTTGTTACCGAAACGTCAC